ACCTGTAGCTCTGCTCCCCCATTACTTTTCTTCTGCCACTCCTATGCAAAGCTTAGCCAGTTGATTCACAGCGGGGGAAAAAATTAAGTAGTCCTACCGAATTATATGCAGATGGTGCTTTGAGAGGAGATACAGTGGAGTTAGTTATTGGTTCATATCTGCACCCATCCTTGGTAAAGCTGTCTTGTTCAAAGTAGCGTGTGTAGTCATACAAGGACATCAGAGCAACCAAAGTAGGTTAAAACAAAGGTTCATCTAGCCTGGAATCCTGGCTTAGATGGTGGTCATGTGTGGATCCCTAGGGAACACTGAAAGAGCAAGGCAAGGTTCTTCCATTGAGTACTCTCAGATTTTGCAACTATTTGCTGAAGCAAATTTGTTTAGCAGTTCCCAGTGGATTTCTTTTCCATATGTTCATACAGATCATAAAAAAGGATGGATAGCTTCTGTTCAGTAATGGATGGATGTGGTGGAGTGGGTATCCAGTTTGTAGAGGGGTGATGAATGGAATATTGTTTAGAGTCTCAATGGCTCTAGGGAGCAGCTGCCCCCTAGGGAGTTGGTTGATTTTGCTGTTCAACACAGGAATGCAGGAGAGATTTTTGTTGATGCACCATGGAAAATAATGGTCTGAAGTGAGGAGTTAAAGAAAAAGTTAGTGATGGAAACTTTAATGTTACAGCATGATATTAATTGATGGTAGAAGTTAGCTGTTACATAGATGGGGCTGTTGTATCTGAGGGCAATGGAAACCCGTGTTTCTAATAGGAGAAGCGGGACCTCCCCAGGAACTAATGTTCTGAAAAGTCATAGGATGACATAATCTGCTTGCCCATCCCAGACCTATCAGCAGCATATCAGTATTATCTGGTATCAAGATCAAAATGCAAAGCAGCTCTGAATCATGGCTGCTTCTGTCCTCATCTCACCCCTGTCTCCAGGGTGCTGCAGAATCTGCCTCTGGTATGTAGTTGAACGTGCAGCAACTGCAGCTGTTTAGTTTCGTCCTTTTCTGGAAAGTTAGGTTATGGTTCATCAGCCCGGTCAGGCTTTCACTTCTATCTCTGTATATGAAAGATGGATAAATGAAGTGGATAACACAAAAAATGACTCAGAGTATCTTCTGAAATTTAAACTATCTCACCAGACATTTTAAGCTCTGAACAAAAGCAACCATGAAATCATGGCAGGCTTGAATACAAACTGGAGAATTTGAAACTCTACCTCATCAGGAACCTAAATTAAAAACTCTTGACTGATAGACTGCAAAATGTAAATGAGAGGAAGTTCCTCTTTGGGTTTGCATTTTGAGCCCCGGGCTCTCTGTTGCTTTTGTGAAGCAGATGCAATCTGATTAGCTTTGCTGCTTGTCTCTCTTCACTTCTGAGCTGTTCTCTGTCTCTGCTGAAGATAGAAGTGAGACAGAATGCCCCAAGTCCCTCTGCATAGGGTTTATGGCACGATTTTGCAGACATCATGCAAGCAGGCATAAATCACAGAACTGCCAAAAAAAACTGCTGAATCCTATTCCCTGGGTCTTTCATCTGACTCAGAATAGGCTACATAATTATTTTTTCAATCTAAGCAATAACCAGTTTTCTTAAGAGATGAGTATTTGCTGACTCTTGCTGCTATTCTTATGCTCAGAATTGCAAACTTCTTGGAGAACAAGGCCAGCTCGTGTATGTGTATACAAACCAAGGTTCAAATCTGGCTTGGGTTCTGTCTTCTAACTCAACAAGTGACTGACACGTTCAGTTTAGCAGAGCTTCCTCTAGAGAAAACCCAAGGGCTGTGCCAAAGAGCCATGAGGCATCTGCTGCATGTTCAATCACATACCAGAGGCAAATTCTGCAGTACCCTGGAGACAGGGGTGAGATGAGGACAGAGGCAGCCATGATTCAGAGCTGCTTTGCATTTTGGTCTTGATGATAGATAATACTGATGATTTTTTGCATTTTCAGTGAACTAAGACCCAAATCAAATCCCATGTCAATAACACCCCAATGCTATTGAAGGTATTTGAAAGAAAGTACTAAAGTAGTACAACTGTCTATTTAGTTCAAATTCAGGTATGGCTGAGGTTGTTCCTGTTCAGTCCATACTAGTTCAATAAAGCGGTTCATACTGAAAAATACACCATTTAAAAACGGAAAAGTCCACACGATGGTCATAATCCTGCAGCACCTGGTGTCAGCCAGAGAAATAAGTTTGCTCCTCTCTCCTGGAGCCCACGGCATCGTATGTATTTCCAGAGCTGTCCTGTAGCTTGTCTCTCAGCTCCCGAGGTTGGACAGGGTGAGTTGCAGGAGTTGTGGCTCTGTGTTGGGAATGGGAGTGGTACAAGGCAGGTAAGGGGAAAAAGAGAGGGGACAGGGAGAGGTTGTGATCTGATGGTGCTCTGCAGATCTGAGGTGAGAAAACTCTTGCTAAGGAATGGATGTTTTTAGTCAGTGCATTATTCTGATCTGATAATCAAGGGGAGGTCTTCTGCTTGGTTGTTGTTTGGATCCAACATAGACCTTAAAATGGAAGAAGAAAAAGCCATAGCTGAAAGTGTTCTTCAGTTTAACTTTCTTGTTTGAAATACAAAGCCTGATGCAGATCAGCCTCTGCAGATGGCCCTAACTTTCATAATTGGCAAAAGCATTTCTAATTTAAAATCTCCCTTCTTTTCCTGTTAGTTACTCCCCTAAGCAAAGCAGCTGGCATGACCTAGGAATGTTGCGCTTGTATTGTTGCTGTGAGACAATAATTCAGTCCTAGGGGAGAAGATGACCTACTTACCATGTCCCCTGGGAATTGTTTCAGTGGGACTCTGTAGAAACCAGTGCTTCTGTGAAGGCTAACTTGGACTATCTGAGAGTTTGAGGAGCTAACCCATGAGATCTGGGAGATAAAAGAACTGAAGTGAGGCTCATGTGTCAGTGGGAGAAGTGCTTTGGTCTCCTCAGCAGACGTGGCTGGCATAGCATGGGCTCCCCTATGCAACCTCCACCCCTTTCTCCCCAGTCAGAGCAATGATGTTCCTGCTGCAGAGCACAGGGCGATGAAAACATGCAGGGAAAGGCAATAGAAAGCAAGGGTATGTCCTATCCCTAAAATATTAGGTACGGTATTCAAAAAGGGTGTTCACTGCCAGTTGAGGCAGGGCTTTAGCAGAATTTGGGAGGTACTTGAACTAGTTCCAGTCCAAAACGCTGATCCAATCCTAAAAGCAAGAGTTTGTAGAATTCAAGGGAGGAGATAAGTGGGTTACATAAGATCTGAAGAGAGCAGTGAGCAGGAGACCAGCCAGGGTCCGGTGGTTTGCTGGCTTCCTGCAGTAATCACTGGCAAAATTCACAAAGAGCAAGAAGCATTATGGGATTTTCTGGTGGGAAAGGGAACAGCAAGCTGTACTGTCACAGGCAAGCATTTTTGGAGAGGGGGGTTTAGGATATCAAGGCTGGGCCCACACCAAGTCACCTTTGGGACTACACTTTTCATATCAAAGTTACTGTGTTTTTCCAAAGTAGCAGTGGTCACAAAGAAAGCATTTCTAGATGATTTATGGAGCTATTACAATCAATGCAATCATCAAAAATACATAAGCAAACAGCATGAGGAAAGTGGATGAAGTATGCAAGACCTTTGTTTACCCGACAGAGTGGGGTTCGTTCTTGTGCCACAGCTGCCAGATACAGGGGAAGGAGCAGCTCCGATGTTCTGGCTCCACCAGAAGTTGCTACGAGACCCAGAAGAGAATCTGCTTCATGTTAGCTTAACGAACCCATCATGTCACTGCACGGGGACAAGTGAATAACACACACTGTCCTTGCAGCACTTGACGAAAATAAGATTTTGGTCACTCTGAGTTACTAAAGATGCATCTTCACTCCACACTAGTCCCTAGTGAACTGTAAACATAGCTGGCACAAGGCGGTTTCCACTCATAGCCTGAAAACACATTTTCTGTAGCAGCACAGCTCTGCAGCCAATCTAATAAATGCTTGTGCTTAGTAGCAGGGCTAATTTTCTCCAGTGCAGCACTGCCCTGGCATGGCTCTACTGCTTCCTGCTCTAGAATTATTTTAGCTGGGGCTTGTTTGGGTGTCTGCACTGTCCTTCACGGTATCGTAGAGACAAGCCCTGAGCAGTGCTTGGTGGAGGAGGGGCATATGCATGCACTGGACTGTAATAGTCCTCTGCTGTTAATGTAAAGGGGAAGTGCTGGACCTCACAGCAATGAAATCGTTTAACAGCTCCTCTTGAAAATTTGTCTTTGACTTGGGTGAAGTTGTGGTCACCTTGGACCTAATTTGGGAGCTGCAAACCCTCACCTCTTCTGAAAACAGTGGTTGACAGTATATGGTGCTTCTGAGCAAAATGTTGACTAGTCTGCTCAAAGCTTTTTTTTCTATAAAGCAACCACTGATGTCGTGCAGGTAAGTACTGCATATTATTGCTCTGGCCTATGAGAGGAATCTATCTGTCTCCAAGATCTCATCACCTAAATATACCTGCCTAAAAGCTACTGACTGAAAAGAAGTGTTGGTATTTCATATAAAACGGTGTGCAGAAAACGTTTTGGCATTCTTTAACTTCAGATCTTGATGATCACATAAAACAAGTAAATTGGTCAAATTGGTTTAGTGTTAACTATTCAGTGAGAAGAGATACAAAAAATTAGACATCCCTCCTATAGCAGCTGGGTCTACGTAGGTTCAGGTCTAGTTGTATATAAATATGCGGAAAGGCTTTGCATGGAGAGGGTCAGATGAGGGTTTTTTTTTTTTTTTTTTGAGCCCTAATTGCTGCCAGCTGTGCAGATACAGGACCCACTTCTGGTGATCTATGAGAATTCTCTGTTTGTTTGGCTCAAGACAATTTCAAAATCATCCTTGGCGTTACAGAAGTTGCCCTGAGGAAGGGAGATGGGGGGTATAGTGTAGCGTAGGCCAAGATTCTGTTTTTCTTTTCCACTAATGTTTCCAAATGTGGCTCTTCTCTTACTGTAGTACTGGATAAATGAATACACCTCCACCTTGGGGATTGGTGTCTTCCACTCTGGCATTGAGATCTACGGCAGAGGTATGAAGCATTTCCTTTTCATTACCTGTAGAACCTGGAGACAACTGCATGGCTAGTCTGACACAGAAAAGGGTCTCAAATTTATAGCTTCTAGCAAGAGATGCTTTGAGGAATGAAAAATTCAACCAATTCTCTTTTAGAATCTAATGCTGCGTCCAGTTAGGACTCATACAGTTCTGTCAAGAACATGTCGCCTGTCTTGTTTTCACCATGTAACTGCAGCCTCTAGAGCTTGTGCAGACGTGTAGCAGAATGTCAGATAAAAGGGATCAATCAACACTGGAAAGATGTTCCGCAGTGAAGGGAGGGGAAGAGAGAAGCGGACAAATGGGGAAGGGGAAGAAAGAGAATGATCAGTGATTTCTCAAGTCCTTTAAATGAATATTTGTGCTGATTCAGGGTTAGGAAAAATCACTTTTGTTGTAATTCTCTGCCACTGTCCCATGATCTAGAAATCTGGGAATCTGGATTTCCAGATCTTCTCATTTTGAAACAGCAGAATTATAAGGAAAAGAAAGCTTCTAATGAGACTTTTAAAATGGTCTGAGGGGAAGAATCTGGCTTTACTAAGTGCTGAACTAAGCCAAGCTTCCTGCAGAGATCAGAAAAGTCAATCAGTTCACTTATGGAATGGAGACAGTGTCAACCCTAGGTATTCATTTATAAGTCACTTGCCTTCTCGGAGGAAAGCCAGAAGTAAAAGCTACATGTAAAAGCAGAGATATAAAAAGCCCCACAGAGGTATTGATGTTGGCTCTCCTGAGGAGCAGTCATGAGCAAGTTCAGCCCACGCCTCAAGATCTGCTGTAGCATTGCTAAATTTGAAATTGATTCAGGGACAGGGGTGATTATCTTGTAAAAAGATAAATCTTAATCTTACTGCACCTGCCTATGACTGCTTGAAAGCCCAAGGGCCTGGCTTAGTCACTACATCAGAGTAGCTACAAGGAAGCAATGCTACACAATGGCACAAGGCTGTGACAGTGTCAGATGGAGTGCCACAAGTAAACTGACCCAAGCATGGTCAGTCTGGGCAGCAGGTAGAACAGGGTCCAACAAAAAGAACCTGCCTGTGAGAAGAGCTGGCCTGGTTTGACCTAGAGAAGGAGTTATTCTCAGTCCTGGTGGGAAGAAAATGATATTACTGTTCAGACAGGAAGAGGTGGGTTGAGCAGGAAGAAGGGCCCTTCTGCATGGTATCATATTGAAAATAGGTGGGAAGATAACCCAGGTTGTGCCAAGGTGTTGACTGAAGCAGGAAGAAGGAAACGCTTTCCCTCAAGGCAGGGAGGGCCACTATGATATACTCTTCACTGGTTTTCTCATAAGTTCTGCTCTACACTGATAGGAACAAGCTGGTATCTTCTAAATAGCCTTTGATTTGTTGCTCCTAACTGGTGTGGAAGTGACCAGTTTGAGTGCAGCTCCTTTGCTGGGACTATGTCACTCTGAACAGCAGCCAGGTCATGCTGGCGCCAGGGTCACTGAGTTATCTGAATCCCTCGCAGTAGAAGTAAATAAGATGCAAGAACTGCAAAGGCTCATATCCCTGCATTACTTAGGCACATAGCTGCATTTTTAGCCCAATTCCAAACTGCAATGGAGTGATGAGGGATATCTGAGGGCATGTTGCATCACCCCATTAGAGCTGTTTTTCTGCAGAGCTGTTTTTATCCCCTCACTGCTTGCTTGCTGTCTTGAGAAGAATCTCCATGCGACTCTCCATCTTATTTTGGAGGTCAGGAAAGTTAGCCAGCCTTGGAACAATAAAACAAAACTTGATGTCATTTGGGACGGCAGGGTTGAAATTAAGAGACAATTGCACACTGAAACAAACCTAGTTATAATTTTGGTGCTTGTGGTGCACAGGCATGAACGTGAGAACAGATCTAGAAAAAGCAGAAGGCTCTCTAGAAGTACCACTGCCTAAAAATCTCCGAGTTTCCATACGATTTCCCAGTATGATAGCACAGTCCTATCTACTCTGTGTGGGAAAGACCAAACTCTTTATGAACTGCTTAAACCAGGCTCCTGTATGGACAAGTGACAAAGTACAACAGCAAGTTCCAGAGGAATCCAGGAAGGCCCTCAGCCATGGTATATTTATATTGTTTTTAAATCTACATCAATTTCTGCAGATGGCATCAGAACAGGGAGCTGGTTCAGTTTCATAGGGGTGGACAGAAAGCTGTAACTCATTGTTCCAGAGGGCTGTCTGCATCTCAAACCCCAAATGGAAAGTGATGCTTTCTATAACCATAAGACCATACAAGATGCCTGAATGATATTTGCAAGGCTTTATCTTGATCGTGGTACTGCCAACCCACTCTGACCCTTACAAGAGTAAAATCTCAACAGACGCCCTTCTATGTCAGGGATTCCTCATGCTGTCTTTAGGATGAATCATGTCACAGATTATGGCTGACAGAAAACAAATTTGTGATATTTCAGGCCTTCTTTAGGGTGATGCTGCATCTCTGCCTTCAGATGGGAGACCTAGTGCTTAAAAATATGGGATGAGGAAGGATATTGGAGAATACCAGCTATTCCTACTGGATGGCACTGAAGCCAATTTGAGTGCCCATTGCAGAAGAAACAGTCAAGGGATCTGGGAAAACAGCTGTAGTGCAGTGAAGCCAAAGGACAGAATAGCATCACAGGCTTTCAATTTCCTTCTTCAGCATTAAATGGGAATAACTTGGGATATCTCACTCTTGTTATTTTTAGCCAGCGCCATGTAGCAGATAAAAGCTCCAGTGTGCTAAGTTCCCTCTTGAACGCAGAAGCTTTCACAGGCCATGCGAGATGGCCTGTGAAGGCCATCACAAGGCATGGTGAGGCCTGTAGGCTTGACTCGTGTGCTAAGGAAGTGCAATCAGCTTGGTTTTCTGCAAAGAATTCCCAGCTGTTGCCTATAAATCCCTCTGGAAGAGGACTGATTTCTCCCTACTCTAGAAAACATTTATTTCAGTTAGGTATCACCACTGATACCCTTCCATAGTATTTCTAGACACGTCCACTGTAGATCCTCTTTTCACTGACAGGAAGCCATTTGGACAGGCACAAAGAGACAGAGGCGGTGAGAATTTTCCAGGAATGGTGGCAAACCAGTATTATTAGCATTGATGGAGTCTGCTCTGGAGCTGAGGTTGTAAGGGTGTGCTCAGGCTAATAGGTAACCAGACAGATGGATTTTTTAGAGTCTGGCTGAAACTGATTTTGGCAATAGCCCAGACCCTGCTGCTGATACTAAGCCGTGCATACAGCTGCCATAGACTTTCCTGACGTAGCCTTCATTCATTACTCACAGTCTGTTTCTTTCCTTGTCAGAGTTTGCCTATGGAGGGCATCCCTACCCTTTCAGTGGGATATTCGAGATCACACCTGGCAGCGCGGTAGAACTTGGCGAGACCTTTAAATTCAAGTAAGGGCACTTTTCCACATCACCCCAACCTCGTAACCCCCAGCGTTAAGAGGAAGTCCTCTCCTCACTTTCCTTCTCCTAATTCGTGTTCTCACTGCCTTCTTACACAATCCTGGTTCAAAGGCAGCCCTGCAGGGATTTTAAAAGTGTACACCAGGGGGGAAATAGTGGTGAGCTCTCTTCTGCAGGGTTTAAAAGTATACTGAAATTCTGTGCTCCCAGTTTCACATGCCAGCAAGAATGGGAGCAACAGTATGTTATGCAGAGTCAGAGCACAGGAAAATAGAGCTAGTCTTTTTATGAGTACCACCTACTTATGGATATTGCATAGAGATGAAGTATTGGAAATCATCTCCTGTGTTTATTGCTACTGTGTCACAAGGGACAGATTAGCTGCTGGAGGAGTCTGAGAGGAGTCTGCATTAAGACACTATTCAAGGTGCTCAGGCTTTGGGATTGTGGTTCAGGAAACTGTTGATGGGAGGTGGGGCTTGACCTTCTAAGATTGCCAGCTTACATTAGAGGATGTTGGAGAGTTAGCCTTCTAGAAGACTGGACACTATTGAGTGAATACTGAGAGAAATGACAGGCTTAAGATACATGTTTATGTATAAAGTTCTCAGCTTGATTATTCCTTGCCCCCACCGTGAAAACCCTCACCGTCATAGGCACTTCTGTCCTGCTGGAAGGGCTGAGGACAGGGTGGGAAGTGAGCAGCCCTCCAGGGCTGAGACTTCCCAGGTGGTGAGCAGAAAGCTCTCAAGCTGTTGCTTGTGTTGTACCTGCTTTTTGGATAATTTGAGGATATTAGTCTGCCATTTTATTAGTTAGGATCTCCTTGTCAGGCTTAGATAGGCATGCCCATGTTTTAAGCCTAACCTTCTTGCCAATGCCTTGTTATCTCCTTTTGCCTGGGTCCACATCAGCATCTTCACCATATCTTTCCATGTCTCCTGTTGTGTGTTGTGTTTTCAATTAGAGAATCCATTGCCTTGGGCACCACAGACTTCACAGAAGAGGATGTGGATAAAATTATGGAAGAGCTGGGCAAGGAGTACAAAGGCAACGCATACCACCTGATGCACAAGAACTGCAATCACTTCTCTGCTGCTCTTGCTGAGGTTGGCACAGCTATTCTCTCTGTATCTTTGCTACTTCAAGTCTGCAGTAGTGCTCACAGAAGGGGAACTGGGGTCACCACAGCCTGCAGGCTAGAGCTCATAGTCAGATCTACTGTCTCTGCCCTTAACACTTCTAGAAGCCCTTTGCTATTTAAAGGGATGGGGTCAGCATGGTGGAAATGCAGCAGGTTGATTGCAGGTTTTGTCTAAACTGTGTGGGAAAATCAGGCATGTCTGCATTTTGGCTCACTGAATAGGCTTGTGAGCAGGAATTCGAAGGCCAGGCCTGTCTAGCATGCAAATGTGCATCCTTTTTAAAGCAAGGGCACAAACAACTCTGTATGATCTGCAAAAGTCTTCAATAGCAAAGGAATAAAAATGGCTTATCAATGCTCTGTTAATACAAATTTGCAATATTCAGGAAGTGAGTGCCCTTTTCCACATTTAATGAATAGCATGCAAAACCCACAAAAAAGGAGGAAAAAAACCCTGAAAAAATATAAATGTTTTTCTCTAGTGCTTACACATTTTAATGGTCAAAAAACCACTGTGAACTATAATAGAGCTGTTATTTCTCTTTAGAGAGAACTGAAACAGAGAAGCACAAATTTATTCAAAGTATCTACCAATTTGGGATATCTGTAGAAAAAATACTGTATGATTCTGTAAGAAAATCTCTTGAGATTCTGAGAAATAGCAATTAATTTAGGAGGGACCTCTCAGAAAAAAAAATTTGATTGATTTCAGAAATTATAGAAAGAGAATTATAGAAAGAGAAAATGACATGAATTCATTCCATAAATGTTATTAAATAAAAACAAATGGGAGGAAATTGTACCAATATAAACAGAGAAGGAATTTTCAAGCAGTACAATGATCAAATCAAGTTAGCTGCACTACTGTTTTGGAGTCAAATCATCAAACTACTACAATAGAAAATAAGAAATTAAAATTTTAAAGGAAATGAATGAGATAGCTGTGCAATTGTTAATGAAATTTCCCCCCCCCACCCCCTCCAAAATCTTCACCAGCAGCAGTGAAATCAGGCCATGGTTCATTACATATTTGGATATGGACAATTCCTGTCTTGCATCGAAGCCATAAACTTAAAACCATTCTTCCTTGATTCTGCTGTTACATGTTAGTGGACTCCCTACTGCCTCTCCCCCACCCAACTGTGCAGAAACACAATGCAAATAAGGCGGATCTTAATATAAAACTACTGACAGCTTTTAAATCTTTCTTAGGACTTACACAGAATGCAAAATTCACCCTCAGTGAGCATCTTTTCTGGAGTGGAATTTAGGATTAAGTTTTCTTGCAAGAGCCTTCTTAGTGTGCTTATATGCCTAGACTTGTCACTGCCCCTCTAAAGTTTCCCAGTTGGGGAAAAAAAAAAAAAGCTTAAATAGCTGGTTTTGAACAATTCTGCTCTGATAGTCTTCATTACTTGTATGATATAGGCAAATCCAGGTGGGAAATGCACCTTGAATCTCAACAGCTTGATATATCCAGCATGGAACTGAGAAGGATTTAGGTCAGTTTAAATCCTTCATAAGCAAGCAGGATATTTTTGTTGCTATTTCTTTTCATAAACACCCATGTTTATTGTCCCACTCCAAAGTATTAAAGACGGGAAAACACAGGAGGTGCGCTCCAGCCCCAAGAGTAGAAAGCCCTGGATGGTCTCTAGCATCCAGATAAAGAAACTGGTGCTTGAAAATCTTATGACAGATGTCTACATCTCTTTTTGGAAACAATAATTTGGCACTGTGTTTTGGATATAGATGAGAAGTAGCACAGCTCAG